CATGTCAGCCTGATAATATGTGAGAAATATTTAATAATAAAATGAATAAATAAATCTTTTTATTTGCCTAATACTGATCAACAGTATTTACAAAAGTATTTATAATACGTAATTTGTGCTACAGGTAACAATTGTGCTATATAGGCGTCCAATTTTATAAATTGCAGAATAATTATTTAGCGTTTTCAATAATAATTATATTCATACATATATATTGTTCAGTTGTTGGGTGCACCTTATAAAAGTGGCACGTCGAGGTAGTTCCTTTAGTTTTCCAGCTCCAGTATAGGTGCAAGCACTTCTTAAACCTCCCAAAATATCTTTGACCGTGTCTTCAACATCACCTCTATAAGGTACTTCAACTGTTTTACCTTCAGACGATCGGTAATCAGCAACACCACCTAAAGATTTTGTAATATAACTTTTTTATAAATAGTTTAGTAAGTTATCATCTTTTCTTTTGTATGGAAATCTTTGGATTGACGACCGTACGATGAGATGATAATCGACACAGTAAAAATTGAGAATGATAATTCGGTCAAAAAAATGTTACGTTATAAGTTTTGAAACTATTTTTTATTTTAATTATTTTCCTACCTGCATGCTTTTGCATAGCAGTGGAGGACGACATCCCATAAAAGAGTTTAAATTTCTTTCCATTCTTTTCGATAATTTCCCCATCGCATTGATCGTGGCCTGCTAGCATTCCGCCCAACATAACAAAGTCAGCCCCTGCGCCAAAAGCTTTCGCCACATCGCCTGGACATGTACAGCCTCCATCCTATTAATTAAATATTTCTTTTTTAGTTGTTATCATACACCTACGTGGATCACATAAAATAAATAGCATTCGAAGTTACACATTCTCAAAGCTTAAATAAAAAAAGCTAATACCGTGGGTGTGTGGTAAATTGCCTGAACAAATTAAGCTGTTAATTATTTCTAAATTGAATCACTTACGGAGATAATGTGACCTTGAAGTCCATGAGCTGCATCCGCACACTCGATAACGGCAGATAATTGGGGATAACCAACCCCTGTTTTCATACGTGTAGTACAAACTGAACCTGGCCCAATTCCTACCTTAATTATATCAGCTCCAGAAAGAATTAATTCTTCAACCATTTCTCCCGTTACTACGTTTCCAGCCTGAAAATATTTTTTTGCTGAATTATAAAACATAAGTGAAAAATAATGACTAGAGCAACAGGACAGATCCTATGCGTTTTGATGAGTAAGTGAGTAGGTCAGCATTAAATACGCTATTTTTGAAAGGTTGGTTCTTTCTAATTACATTAAGTTGAAATATTGAAATTTTTATTGAGTCGAGAAGTTATAGACCTCAGTATTTCGTATTAATTTCAAATCTCTAGCTCAGCAAGGACGTGGGTATGGAAATGGAAAATGCTTGAAATGCAACTTACAATGATTGTGTGGGAGGGAAATGCTATCCGTACTTTCCTAACAAACTCAACAAAATGTTGAGAATAACCATTTGCAACATCCAAGCAAACATAAGTGATCCCAGGAATAGCGTTCAAAACATCTGAAAGTCGCTCGAAATCGTTCGGGGAAGTACCACAGCTTGCTGCGATATTTGGCAAGCATTCTGGATTTTCGTTGGCGAATTTCGTCCACTCATC